AGGGTCACCGAACCCGAAACGTTAACTCTGTTTTCTCCTCCACAGATGCTGCCAGACCTGTTGAGCTTTTCCAGCAACTTTGTTTTTGTTCCTGAGAGCATGATACATTTTGATTGGGATTGAAATCACTGAGAATGAAAATCATGTCGGCATTGGCTGAAGTAGTAGTGACAAAATTTTTACTGTGGCGTTAGATGGGGAGGATTTGAATCGAGATGAAATGTTGAGGAGGGGTAAATGCCAGAGGAGTAGGGGGATCAGGCTATGGTATGATTTGGTAATAAGTGCTAAACTGATAAAGTGACTGGATAAAAATCATGGAAGATATAACCAGGTGGAAAGTTTGGATAAAGGGGTCGTTGCATTCAGCTTTTGATAAATATATTGCAGAATATGGATTGCAAAACCTTGATGACAAATGAATGGATATTTCTGCAGGGAAATGTATAGAGGGGTGGTGAGGGCTGATCTTGGCAGAATCTACAGAATCAGCAGTGAGAGGAGTGAGTTGGGCAGGAAGGAGATTGATGAAATTCATTTCCAGCAAAGATGCTGGGTGGCTGTTCAGCAAGAGAATACAAAAAATATGAAAGGAGTTTCGTTGGGGTAAATAGAAAAGATATGTTTTAGTAAGAATACAACATAGAGGATGATGAGCTGAAGCCTGGAGAAGCAGCCATAGTGGACAAAAGGAACGTTGAGGGTTCAGAGGCTTAGTTATTATAAAAGTTAGGAAAACACAATAAAATCCGTGAAAGTTAATAGAAATGTTGAAAATTTTTTTCAAATATATACACTTTCAGCAGGTTAGTCAATGACTGTGCTAATCTTCCTTGTTTTATTTATCTACAGTGCAGTGTAATTGAGAGTCTGACCAGCCTGCTGATGAAATGGCTAACCTGGCATTCTGTTTGTGTAGCTGATTTGGACAGAGATATTCCCAATGTTTTACAAAGTCCACAGTGAGTATCTATAATGTAAGAAATTCCCACAAAAATGGCTGACAGTCTGACTCTTTGCTTATAGATTAACTTTAAAATGGCTTAGTATTGAATTTCCACAAACCAGAAATATCCTTGCTAATTGGATAATCATTGGAAAAGTTCATTAAGTCTGGATGACCCCAGTTTTCTGCTGACTGATCTCAGGCAGGCCAGCAGAAAACTTGTAATTCACCACAGCACATCCAGATTCTTCTTCTTGAGTTCTCTGCCTGAGTGCAGGTCTGACTTTCAGTGCTGCAATCTCTGCCATGGATTGGACAGGAAGAAGGGTCCCAAATCCACTCCTGCTGAAACATGGATTAAAACTTCTATTGTCAACATCAATCTAATCCTCCCTGGGGGCCATTCAACCAACTGGCTAGATGAGGATTGAGTTGCTGTGCCATAAACTTTCACATGTGAATTGTGGAGCTCTAGATAGTCATGGTAGAGCTACGTAATTTTTCCTTCACATCACTGAGCAGGAACCTCTCCCACATTTTTCTGCCTGTCATGAGTCTACGTTCAATGGATTTACAAGTTGGCAGTGAACCTGTTTGGTCATGTTTAGAACACAACTACTTTAGCCATAACGTCAGTCCTGGATTGGAACTTGAACCCAGAGCTTCTGACTCTGTGGAAGGGATACAGGACACAGCAGTCTGCACCACAAGAAATCCACACTAAAATTAGGGAGGGAGAAAGAACCAACTGTTTTCTCATTTTAATTGCTCTCCAACATCTTTCTAAAACTTCATACGAATGGACATTAGCTGAAGGTATATCGTGGCTTTGCTGCGAGATCTTTTGATTGAATGTTCTGTCATCTGTCAAAGTCAAAGTTCAACATGAATATTGGCCAGTGATTCTGAAATCATACCCAACCAAGCAGTTAGTGACCAAACAGGAAAAGAATTATAATGATACACCTCTGAAGGAAAGTCATTCGATTTGTACCAGATTTCTCCAAGAGCAACTCAGCTATGCCTTTTCCCCCACCTTTTCTTTGAAGCCCTGCTAATCTCTATTCCCTTCATGTAATTATTCCTTTTCCAATCACAAATTAGCCTCTTCTCGTTCTCAAACCCAACTATCAAGGAATATTTTCTCCACATCTAGTCTGTCCAGATTCCTCGTGGTTTTGAGCAACTCTAAACAAATCTCCTGCCAGTGTTCTATTCTGGATAGAGAACAACTCAGTTTAATTTATTCACATAATTGAAGTCCCTCATTCTTAGAATTTGTTTCTATATCTCTATAATGTCTTCACATCCTTTCTAAAGTGGAATGCCCAGAATTGGATGCAAGTGTCCTCCTCCTTGGAGTTCATTGTCTTCTGTGTAGTTTGTCTTCTCCAATCAAGCACAAAGGAGGAAGGAGGGGGGCAGATCCAAATTGTAGTATTGAAGCAATCTCACTGCAGAGTCAAAATTCTTTTGGATGCAAATATAAATGATTTTCAACTAATATGTTCTTTACGTAATAATTTTTAAGATTATGGAACTATCTAAGAAACAGAAAAGCAGACAGCTGAGGTAGACATCACTAATCATGTCATGGAAAAAGTGGCCAAACATTTTAAGTGGAGGACGGTCCAAGGTTTTATTGAGCAAACATTTCAGTGGAATTAATTTTGGATTCCAAGCAGACAGACAAAATAGGCTAAGTGCTACCAGTTATGTTGTAAGCTTCTTTAGTTCTGTGATTAGCAGCAAGGCAGTGACTAACTTTTTTTTGTCATACATAAGTTGAGGTGTTTTGAGCTAGGTACAGGATTTGCAAAATTGTTTGCTCACATTTCAATTACCGTGCATTCACAAAGTAACTGCATTTTTAATCTTAAATGTTTTGTTTTCCTAAATTTTCCAAGTCATTATTATTCCTCTTACAACACCACTTGAATTAGTAATTCTGTAGCTGAGAGAAAAGGGCCACAATTGTTTCTTGTAGTTGTCTCCAAATATTTCTGGAGACTATGGGATCTTTCCTTACATTTGACCCCACCCTACTGGAGAGCTTCTTTTTAATCCTATTTCAAGGTTCAGATTGTAAAATGAGTGGATTCAGACTTAACTGTTTAGCTGCCTGGCTGCTTTGTAATATTGAGCTCAGTAAACTTACACTCAACTGCACCATACTTTCCAAAGAATGTTTCAGATCTCTTTCTGTAGCTCTATAACTAGTTGGCTTTGAGTCTGTGTGAATAATAAATAAGTTGAAGAGAATATTTCTTTGAAAATTGTTTGTGCTTTCAGGAATGTTACCCTTTCTGGATTGGTGAATTCTGTTTCTGAACTTGTGGAATTTACCGCAAGAATTTCAATCGTAGCACTTCAGATGGAGGCTTACAACAGTCTGCTGTTGCATTTCATACTCAATTTCTATGAGACGGTGAGAAGAGTTGATTCATGTTTAGGAAACTATTTTTGACTGTTAGATTATTAATCAGTACAGATAAATGAAATACAACTTAAGAGGCATGCAATTTGTAATTTGAATCCTTTCCCATTCCTCCACACCTGTAAAATCTGATATATATTAGAGATCAGCTTTTTTTAAACTTGTTCATGGGGTGTTGCTGGCTGGGCCGATATTTTTTGCCCTGAAGAAGATGCTGGTGAACTGCCGTCTTCAATTGCTGCAGTTCCAGGGAGTAGGCACACCCACAAAGCTGATAGGAAGGATTTTGATCCAGTAATGACAAGGAAATAGTGATATGGATCGAAGGGTAGTTGGTGTGAGATATTGCTATTTTATGTAAATGTATTCCATTTTTTGCTTTCACAAAATAACATTTGTCGATGTTTCATCCTTAACATGTTTGCTTAACAATTCAAAGTAATTTCTTGTGCTTAAAATTAATGTCACTGAATTTGAATTATACAATGCAATTCACACGACAAAATAGAAATTTAGGGTGGAATGTGTGGCTCCCTCGAGCAACATGGACAATGGTGCAAAAGTTGGGGAAACTACAGCAAAAATGGAAAGAACAGACTGTTGACCTTGAGGGAAAAAATGCTGATTTTTTTTTCATGGGGACAGTTCATGGCTTATAGCATGATTCCACAAGTTAGGTGCTGAAGAGCCACAGCATAATTAATCCATATTTAATGAGCTGAAGCACAGAAGATTGCATGAGAGAAGTCGACAGGGGCTATGGCAGACAAGCCACCAGGAATCTCATCTGTCAAGCCACTTTGCCAACAAATAGGAAATTTTAGCCTGTGGTGTTAAATTCGGAAAAATTTTAATTAGTAACATTGATTTAAAAATGTTAGACTAATTTGTGAAACAATAAACCAGAGGCAGGAGAAGTAAAGTTGTTTTGAGTTGGATCTTTTGAAAATATTTGATAACCTCAAATTGTTATTTTTGTAAAAACCGAAAGAACTGTGGATGCTGTAAGTCAAACAAAAACAGAAATAGCTGGAAAAGTTCAGTTTTGTATTGTGATTTAAAATGGATGCAGCTGATTGGACAAGTTTAAGATAAGGAATTCAGTTGATTTGTGGTTCAAATGCTTTTTTTCTAAATTCTTAAAATGTTTGTGAGTTGTAGTGCAGTATGTAATTACTGCCACTAGATGGTACAGTTGTTTGTACACCTATCATTTGCAATCTCCAGTAAAATACACAGGTAGTCAGGTAAAAATTATAGTCTGTAGCATTTTAGAATGTTAAACACCAAAATAGACATTTGGTCCATTTAGTACGCACTGTTGTTCCACAAGTTACCTAGTCTAATTCTAGACTCACAACCACTCTTCTCACTCACTCTTTGTTCCATTTTTTCTAGCATATATTTAATTCCCTTTTAATTGAATTAAGTTGAAAGAATTACAGTGGAAAATAATCCTGCTTTCTAGATGTTATTTGTATAAAAACAAACAGTTTACAATTCTGTTTGTCATTAACTTGCATTTTGTAGTGTTGTCTGTGGTTTGGTTGGTAGCACTCTTGCCTCTGAGTAGAGGATTATGGTTCCAAACCCGCTCCGAGATTTGAACAAACAAAATCGAAATGACGCTCCATTTCAGCACGAAGAGAGGGCTGCATGATCAGAGGTACCATTAGACTGAGACCTGTTTGCTCACTCAGGTGGGGGTAAAAATCCCATTGCATTATTTTGAAGAAGTACAGGACACATATCCCCGGGTGTCCTGATCAGTGTTCATCTCTGAATCAACATTATAAATGTTTGCTTGTTATCAGTTTCTGCATGTTGAAGCTGTGCTTAAAGTTTGAACATTACAATACTTCAAAGTACTTATTTTAGCTCTAAAGCACTATAGGAAATGTGCTTGTTAGAGATGTTGTATAATTTTTTTCATTTATTCTTTTCTGGGATATGGATAGATGAAAATTTATTGGCATCCTGAATTGCCCTTGGTGGTGAGCTCCCTTAAACCCCTGAAATTTGGGTGGCAGTGCTGTTAGGGCGTTACAGGATTTTGATATGGCAACATTGAAGGAATGGTGATAAGGTTCCATGTCAGGATGGTGAGTGGCTTGGAGGGGAACTTGCAGGTGCTGGCATCTACTGCCTTTATCCTTCTAAGTGGTAGAGGTTGTGAGTTTGGAAGGTGTCGTTGAAAGAGTCTGGGTGAAGTGCTGCTGTGCATCTTGAAGGTGGTACATGGTGCTAAACACTGCTCATCATTCATAGAGAATTAAGATGTTGGATGGAGTACCAATCATGTGGACATCTTTGTCTTTATGTACTTTCTCAGTGTGTGAAAGTGACACACTGACAAAGAGGGACACGAATTTGACTGGGACAACACGTTGATAATCGCACAAACCAAGGAATGCCAAGGAATTCTTGCAGGCCTGGTATTCCAACTGGAACTCCATCAATAAAAACATTAAATTAGACCCTGTGTACAAACCACTGAGAAACAAAACCGGAAGTAATACCAACCACTCCAGAAAACCGAAGCATATAAATAACAAGCGGGACAGAACACAGATGCTTCACTGGAAGCGCACTGACGATGTTACCTAGCAGGGTGACTAAAAGTTTGCAACCAAACCCACCGGCTCAGTGAGCATGTCTACAACCTTGAATACTATCTTGTTTTGGCACAACCTACTGTTGTGAATCAACATTTTCGTATGTGACACAAATTAAAACGCGCTTGAGACCTCAGATGATGGGTATTTGCCTGGAGGACCAATTAAAGCTACGGTCAATGATGTTTTGGAACCAAATATCCGATTCCTATCTCGCAAAAAGCAAGCACAAAAAAGTCATTAAATGGTTTGTTGTCTAAGTTTTTCACTTACTATTAGTTCTGTTGTTAACTTTGCCAAACAAGTAAATGTGTCTTTGCCGAATTTTTAAAGTCCTCATATAATAGCAGGCTTTAATTAAAATTAGTAAACACGTCGACAAAAATATGACATTTTGTTGTATGTGTTAAATTCTCAGCATGCAGCCTAAAAGGATCTTGGTTAAATAAAATGTGTTCTCCACCTCTGTTCTAATCAATGATAGCCCCCAGGATGTTGATTGTGGGATATTCAATGATAATAATGCTTTGAATGCCAAATGCTGAGGGGATTGCCTGCCACTTGTGTGGCAATAATGTTATGCACCACTTATCAGTCCAAGCCTGAATGTTGTCCAGGTCTTATGGAATGTCAACACCATCTGCCTCCGTATATGAGAAGCCATGCATACTAGTGAACATTGCGCAGCGATCAGCGAACACCCCTGTGTCGGATTTTCTGCTGAAAGGAGGTCACTCATAAAGCAGCTTAAGATGGTCAAGGACACCATCTTGAGGAACTCCCACAATGATCTCCCATTTCTGAGCTGATTAAATTAAATCTTTTTTCTACTTTGGTTAGCAAGAGTGCGCAATGTACTTAATTTAAATTGTTGCACACCTCATTTAACCTTGAAAAGAAATTAAGTACTTGAAGGGAAATAAGTTACAGCTTTCTGTCAAAAGATTGGGGGTTAGAATTAATTGTTTGGCTCTACCAACTGTTACTATCTCTAATATCTTAATGTTTAATGAGAAATTCGAACACCCAGTGCTTTGGTCAAAAGAACCATGCTACAAGATCTGACATTTTTAAACATGAGGTTGAAGAAACTTGGATTGTTCTCACTGGAACGACGGAGGTTGAGGGGTGACCTGATAGAGGTCTACAAGATTATGAAGGGCATGGATAGAGTGGACAGTCAGGAGCTTTTTCTCAGGGTGGAAGAGACAGTTACTAGGGGGCATAGGTTTAAGGTGAGATGGGCAAAGTTTAAAGGTGATGTACAAGGCAAGTTTTTTTACACAGAGGGTGGTGGGTGCCTGGAATTTGCTGCCAGGGGAGATAGTGGAAGCAGATACGATAGTGACTTTTAAAGGGAGTCTGGACAAATACAGGAACAGGATGGGAATAGAGGGATATGGTCTCCAGAGGGGTAGGGGGTTTTAGTTCTGGGCAGCATTTCGGTGCGGGCTTGAAGGGTTAATGGGCCTGTTCCTGTGCTGTGATTTTCCTTCTTCTTTGTTCAAACTTTGCTTAAGTGAGCACTTCTAATGTAACACTACAGTGTACCAGGACTTCGAGTATAAATTCAGTTCCTCTTTACTTCTTGATTCCACTGAGACATCTCTTACCCCAAGATTTCATTCACTTCCTGAACCAAATCAAAAATATTATGCAGGCCAGGCAGCATCAGAATAGAGGAAAGTTAACATTTCGGGTCAGGACCCAGAAGGATCCCGACCTGAAACGTCACCTTTCCTGCTCCTCTGATGCTGCCTGGCCTGCTGTGTTCCTCCAGCTCCATGCTGTGTTATCTCTGACTCCAGCATCTACAGTTCTTAGTACCTCCAAATATGCTATGCTACAGCTTTCCGTGATTCATCTGAATTTCTCTTCAGTGTTCTAACTATTCTCCTGAGCTATGAGATTTCATGGGCAATCTACTATTAGTTTTTGGCTAAGTGACCCTCCAATTTTCTTCAAACTCCCATTACACTGAACATCTTGGCTCAAGCTTGGGACACACTGCACTTGTGCCTAGTGACTGTAGTGACTCAGGAATACCCCTGGCCTCTATTGGCCTGACTTTGGGCAGATACAAATTGTTCTCTCTCAGTTTACTTCCCGGCCAACTACCTGGGGGATGCATAACTCCCCCTGCACCTTTCCAGTTGGTAGCAGGAAAAACATATAATTTATCCCACAAATAGCTTTCCCTTTTCCAGTTCTCCAGGCAACAGAAAACGCCTTATCCTTGTCTCCAATAATAAATGTTAATTGGCTATCTCTGACTGCAATTGCTTTTCACCTTGGGAACAAAGGGCAGATTTCAGCACAACAATCCGATACTGGTACCAGCTGTATTAGTTTCAAGAGACTTAAAATCTTCCCATTGTGGACAGAGCACAGCTTGATTCCCCTCTGATGTAAATATCAGTCAACTCCCTCTTGGTAACACAATTTAAGTTATCCCTTTGATCTTTACTAATTACCAACCAGTTCTTTTTGGTCGGTCAGACTCCTGCACCGATTACGTAATTGCTTTTGATTGCTCTAAATTTAAAGGTTCAGACCCAAACTATAATTCTCTTGCAAATCAAAAAATGCAGTTCTACAGCATAATGATTGAAAGATAAGCCATACATGTATGATGGGCCAAATGACTTCTTGTTATGTTCACTTTAAACTGCATGGCTCCACAGTAATCTGAAACATACCTCTCTAGAAACAAAGTGCAAGAAACTGCAATCTACTATTCTATGAAGCTGGAGTCAGGAGAATAAAGAGTTCAGAGGTGTACATCTGGCAAATGTTATTAAGAGAGGAGATGGACTTGAGTTCAATAAGGATATATAGGTGGCTGAGGTACTTAGAGTCAGTGTAGATGAGTTAAGATGGGAAAAATTTGGGAGTTTGTTGGGATAGAATATTGGAAGGAGAGAATAGATGAGCTGAAGTTTATGGAGGTTTGCAAAATAAATTATTGGTGTGGTAGTCATGAAAGGCATACATTAATTGTATAAATTAGGTTTTGTTTTTAACTGTGCTCAACAGCTATGCCTATGCTCTTCAAAAATATCACTTGTCTTGCTTTGTTTAGGGACAATCAGTCTCTCCCATATACCACTGTTTATTATCATAACAACATTTCCAGTTAACTTTGTGGTTTTATGTGATTTCATACTCAGGTATCTGATATGTATTTGAAATACAATCTTCCCCTGGTGATTTTGCCACCTGCTGGTATAATTTATCCAGCATTATTGAGTTTGGAATCGGTGAGTCTGAATCAGCTGTGCCACATTATGTACAGGTAAGTATTTCATTTCCTAAAGCGCATCTTATTGACATATACCTCTACAAAACTGAGGCATTTAACTTCATTTGCTACATTAAACCATAAGAATGAAAGGTACCAATGTCTAAATTATTCTTTAGCCTTCGGATACTAGTGGGGCCATCTTCAAATTAACCAATGCTGTTTCTTATTCTTATGTAATTTCTTTCACTGCATATATTCCTGGTTACAGATAAGGATTTGCGGGTGGCTGGAGAAATGTACTGTTACTAATACTATTTGTTCATTTATTAGGAATAATGAGTGCATGTACATGAAATCATATTGAATCTCCCTTGGTGAGTGATGTTGGAAACAAGGATGTTACGAGCATTCAAGTCATAGAGTTGTACAATATGGAAAAAGGCCCTTTTACCCATTGTGTTTGCACTGGTCATCAAGCACCTAATATTCTTGTGTCCCATTTTCCAGCACTTGGCCATGACCTTGAATGCTATGGTATTTCAAATGTTCATCTAAACACTTCTCAAAAAATGTGATTATTCCAATCGTACCACCATTTCAGACAGTGAGCTCCAGATACCTACCATCCTTAGGGTGAAAAAAATTCTTCTTTGAATTACCCTGTAAATCACCTGCACCTTACTCTAAGTCTATGGCCCTGGTTATTGACCCCTCTGAGAAGCTACTCCTATATTCAAGTCTAGATCATTAATGTACACTTCAAACAGCAAGAGACCCAGTAGCAAATCATGCAGTATACCATTGCACTCAGGTTTACAGGTCACAAGAAATAACCGTCACCCTCTGCTTCCTTCCAATAAGCCAAATTTAGATCCAACTTATGAAATTGCCCTCAATTCCATGGGCTCTACCTTTACCAGTTTCATACTAGTGTTGTTAGGCTCACTGGCATTTGTTCCCTGATTCATCTCTACCGTGCTTCTTAAATAGTAGTATCACATTAATTGTCCTCCAGCCATGTGACACTTCTGTGCCCAGAAGAGATTAGAAAATAATGTTTGGGTCTCTGCAATTTCCCCGCTGGACTCCCAAGACCACCTCCCTTGCTTCCCACAACAGCCTGAAATACATTTCATTGGACCTTAGGGATTTATCCAATTTTAAGCTTTCTAAAACCACGAACACCATGTCTCTCTCAACTGTAAGTTGTTCAAGTGTATCACAACCCTGTCCCGGATTTCTATACTTCATCATCTTTTTCTTTAGTGAATACGGATGTAGTACCTGTTTAAAACCTCACCTAAGTCTTTTGGCTGCACCCACAGTTTGCCTCATCGGTGTCTAATGGGCCCTGTTATTTCCCTGGTTATCCTCTTGCCCTTAATACACTGAAAAAATGCCTTGGCTTTGTTTTATTATTATTTTGTTTTACCCATTAGGATTTTTCATGCCATCTCTTTGCTTTCCTAAATTCTTTTTAATGTCACTCTGTATCTCTAGAACTTTCGATGTTTTCTGTATTTACAATAGCTTCCCAATTTTTCCTTGACATCCAGGGCCTGTAGACTTGTTCATTCACTTTTCACCTTTATATGAAATTTCACTATTTCGTTTTGAAGGAGTCCCATTGCTCTGAATTAGATTTTCTTACAAGTAGCTGCTTCCAGTCCACCTTAGCCAATTCCAGTCTTGTCACATGAAAGTCAGCCTTCTCCCAATCCAAAACCTTTACCTCTAGTCCATCTTTGCCCCTTTCCATAACCATCTTAAATCTTAGAGTTAAGGTCACTCACCAAAGTGCTCTCCCCCTGATAATTCTACTATTTGCCTGGCTTTATTCTCTAAAATTAGATCCAATTCCTGAACATCTTTCTACATGCTGCCTTAAAAAGGTCTCCTAGATATGTTTTAAGAATTCCATCCCCTCTAAGCCTTTCATGTTTTGCTTACCCCATCAATATTGAGGAAGTTGAAATTCTCCATTATTACCTATTAATTTTACACTTCTCTGAAAGTTCGTTATTTGACAGCAGTAATCTCATATCTCCTTGTGTTATTCAGCACCTTCAACTCATCTGCCTTGCTTCTATGACTCCTTACTCTAAAATAAGTGCCATCCAAACTTCCTTGTGCCTTAACTGCTTCTTAAATTCGTTCAAGGAATGTGGGTGTTAGAGAATTTCTTCTAATGCACAAATAATCAGACTGCAGCTGTCAGACTTCGAGGTAAAGAGAACTTTTGATTTGTGATATCATGGAGAGTCAACGCTAACAAAGGTTAGATACCGAAGATTCTGCAGCAATGCAGAGTTATAGGATATTTATAGAGACAGACAAACAAGTCGACATGACAGATAACAGTGATCTTCTAGTCCAAAGTTCAACGTTCTCATCATCTTCCTGAGCTGCAGGCTTTCTTCTTCTGTTAATGTTTAGCTAACATGCACTTATTTCACTGACTAAGGCAAAAGTGTGATTCGGATTTACTAAGACAGCAGTTACTAAGAACTAATGCGGGTTTGAATACTTTGAGTTGACACTTTGTTTTAACGTTCTGTCTGTCACATAGTCTTTTTGCCTTTTCGATACTGACTTTTCTCGAACCTTCTACAACATGCTAATTTCTTCCACAGTGGCCATCACCGGCATTTATTGCTTTCCCTAATCACCCAAAGAGCAGTAAAGAGTCAAACACATTGCTGTGGGTTTGGGGTCAAAGGTAAGCCAGACTAGATAAGGACAGCAATTTCTTTCTCTAAAGTGAACCAGATGCATTTTTCCAATAACCGACAACAGTTTCATGGTCATCATTAGATTCTTAATTCGAAGTTTGGTGTTCAATTCAAATTCTACAATCTGCCTTGGTAGAATTCAAACCCAGGTCTCCAGAATATTACCTGGATCGCTAGATTAACAGTCCCGTGATAATTCCACCAGGTTATCACATCCACCCCGCTTGACAACACATGCTGTGTCTGCCAGATTGACTTGGCTTTTCTGTGCATCACTTCCTATTGCATCTCCACTCTTTATCCCGCTCCCCTGCCACATTAGTTTACCCCATCAAGACTAGCAAACCCACCTATAAGGAGGTTGGTCTCATTAAGGTTCAGATGCAAGCCATCAGTCTTGGACAAGTGCCACTTTCTCCAGAAATGGACCTAATGATCCAGGAATCTAAAGCTTCCACTCCAGCACGAGCACATCAGCTATGCATTCTTCTGCTCTAACCGCTATACCCTATACCCTATACTCATTAGTACATGGAACCAGGAATAACCCAGAGATTACAACCTTTAAGATGCTGCTTTTCAATCTGCCACCTAAGTCCCTAAATTCTTGTTGCAGGATCTCCTCTCTTTTTGTATATGTTGTTGACATTAATGTCAACCACAATCTCTAGCTGTTTGCCCTCCACCACCAGGATGCCCTACACCCTTTCGGTGATGTCTTGATGCTGGCCCAAGGAAGATAACACACAATCTGGGAGTCATGTTTGCAGTTGCAGAAACACCTGTCTAGACCCCTCGCAATGGAGTCTCCTTCCACTGTTGCTCTTCATTTCTTTCTGCTTTCCCATGTGTTGTTGGGTTCTGGCTGCATTTCCCAAAAGAACTGTCACACTTAGCTTTTCTGTACTAGAAAATCATGTTTTGTTGAGTGAGATGCATTCTGGTGCTGCCTGCTGCCTGGCTGCCTGCCTTCAAACTGGTGGTCACCCATTCCTTCTCGGAATACACTTCCTTATGTTGTGGATGACCACATCTAAAAATATGCATCCATGTAACTCTCAGTTTTGTTAATACATTGCATTGCCTGCAGACGTGCTTATCCAGACTCTTTTCCACCCCCCCCACCCCAATTTTATGTCAAGTGGAAAATTAAATTTCTTTACTATTAACTTTAAACTGAATAAACATTTTTTTCACCCTAACAAATCTGGTTCCTCCCCTGTGCTATAGACACGAGAAAATTATATCTCAGTAATCTGATGTCTAGTGAAAAAGACATTGCTATATAAAGTAATGCTCAGCTATTCTGCCCAAAATTGTGTCTAATTTGAACTCTGCTTTGGGTTGAATAAACCAATGACAGTGAGGCCATTAATTAAGAAGTTGAATTTGGCAATTTGTCTGTGTATTGGAGAAAAAATAAAAGCCCCTTTTTATTGTTCAGCACAACTTGCTTGAAATGTGTACGAAGGGCTCGTGTGGTGCAGTGATAATGTCATTACCTCCGGGCCAGAAGGTCTAGATTCATGTCCCACCTGCCCTCTAAACAGGTTGATTTGAAAATATCCTGAAATGAATATGATTTACTGTCAGGTTGGTGCTCGGCTGACCTAAGTTGTACTGATTCATGCTTTATTAGAATTAAGAGTAATTCTTAATGCAGCAATCTGAATAGTGACTCTACAGCTGGAATTTATCATGAGACAAGTCAGAATAGTTCTTTTAAAAAAAAATCCTTGACCTGAAACTTTAACTGTGTTTCTCTCTGCAGAGTTACTGCAAGACCTGTTGAGTAGTTCCTCCAACATTATCTGCATTTGTTTGTATTTAACAGCCTGTTTTTACGTCTAAATATTTAATTGATACTTTTGAAGTCTTTAGCAAGAGTTCCCAAGCTTCCTTGTAGCTTTCGTAACTTTTAACTGCTTTGCTTTCTTTATAACTCTCCATTTCAGTTTTAGTTTTCATTTTTGTGAACTTAAATTATTGGCTGTTTCCTTCAAAATTAGCTTTCTAGCCTCTTTTTTTCATAACATTTTAAGACTGATTGTAATTTCCCTTTTTAGGCCATACCTTTTGCTGTTACACTTTCTTCTTTGACTTTCTCATTGTTAAGTCCACTGTTGTTCTTCAGTCCCGTGCTACTTGATTCATTTTTGGTGAGCTGCTTGTTCATTCCAAAATCGAGATTTACGGAGTGCAACTTTACAAATGTCTGCCTCCCCATCCCAAAAAAATCCAGTATTCCAGAAATATCTCTTCATTCTAAGCTAATTTTAATGAATTGAAGGGGAATCAAGCCTGTATAAATTGGAGTTAAAGACTGATCAGTAGAATTATAACAATCTGATGGATAACATACTTGATAAATGTTTGGCCTTGAAAGAGGGGATGTTTTGAATGAGGAATCATCAGCCAAAACTGACAGTGTTCAAGAATAGGATAGAGCAAAAAATGAGGTGTATGACAAATGTTAGTATCAGGCTATACATAAAAAGTACAGAGAAGATATGTTTTTAAAAAAAGCACTCAGGACAAGTTGACAGTAAAGCAGTCGATTGATGGCTCGTATAAAAGGGAACATAACATCCTTTGGCTCATAGACAATAAAAGTTGCCAGAGGAGTGATTAGTTGATTGGGAACCAAAATGGGAATATATGGTAGGAAGTAGAAGGCATGGATAATGCGTTAAATGAGTACTTGACATTGGTGTTTATTAAGAAAGAGGGCATTGCCAAAGTGAGGTTTCCACAATACTGGATGGAATAAAAACAGTTAAAAGACAAAGAAATAGAAAGTCTAGCAGTGCTTAATGGTTATGTTACCTAGTCAAGATGGAGTGCATCATAATTGCTAAAAGAAATTAAAGAATAAATTATAGAGATGTTGGCTACAACCTTCCCAGTCATGCTTGGATAGAGGAGTGCTGCCAGTGGACTGGAGAACCACAAATATTGTACCCTGCTGCAACAAATGAGAGATGGATAAACCTGGCAATTTCACACCGGTATGATAATTGTCAATGGTGGAGAAGCTTTTTAAAAAAAAATCTTTTGGGAGAAAATTAATCCTCCACTTGGACAAGCAGGAACTGATACATGAAAGCCAGCACAATTTTGTCAAAGATAACAGGGTGTAGAGCTGGATGAACACAGCAGGCCGAGCAGGAAAG